CACTTTGGGAGGCCAAGGCAGGCGGATCACGAGGTTGGGAGTTCAAGACCAGCCTAGCCAATATGGTGAAACCTTGTCTTTACTACAAATACAAAAATTAGGTGGGCGTGGTGGTACATGCCTGTAGTCCCAGCTACTTGGGAGGCTGAGGCAGGAGAATCACTTGAACCTGGGAAGCAGAAGTTGCAGTGAGCAGAGATTATGCCACTGCACTCCAGCCTGGGGGACAGAGCAAGACTGTCTAAAAAAAAAAAAAAAAAATTGTAGAGATGGGTTGTTACTATGTTTCCTCAGCTGGGCTCAAACTCCTGGGCTTGAGAGATCCTTGGCCTAAGGCTCCCAAAATGCTGGGATTACGCGTGTGAGCCACTGCAGGTGTTTGGATTTTAGGGGTTAGCTGATAGGTGAGGAGAAGGACGAGGTGAGAGTGTTACTGAGCAAAACAGCTCACTGCTTGAAGTGCTAGACACTAGTACTGTGACACTGGGTTTTGGGCTGAAGCAATTCTTACCATGTTGGGCTGATTTCATTAGTTTTTTGATAGTGGCAGGATCTCACTATGTTGCCCACCATGGTCTCACTCCTGGGCTGAAAAGATCCTTCTGCCTCAGCCTCCCAAACTACTGCGATTACAGTTGTGGGCCTGACACCAGGTTTGGGTTCAAACAGTTCTCCCACCTCAGTCTCCCCAGCAGCTGGGATTACATGTGTGTAATCCCTACAGAGTCTCACTCTGTCACCTAGGTTGAAGTGCAGTGGCATGATCTTGGCTCACTGCAACCACCTCCTCCCGGCTTCAAGCAATTCTTGTGCCTCAGCCTCCCGAGTAGCTGGGATTATAGGTGCCTGCCACCACGCCTGGCTAATTTTTATATTTTTAGTAGAGACAAGGTTTTGCCATATTGTCCAGGCTGGTCTCTTAACTCCTGACCTCAAGTGATCCACCCACTTCGGCCTCCCAAAGTGCTGGGATTACAGGCGTGAGCCACCGTGCCTGGCCTAATTTTTGTATTTTTAGTAGAGATGGGGTTTCACTATGTTGGTCAGACTGGTCTCAAACTCCTGACCTCAGGTGATACGCCCACCTTGGCCTCCCAGAGTGCTGGGATTACAGGCGTGAGCCACCGCGCCCGGCCAAGAAAAGCTTTTTATTGCAAGTCAGCTAGCAAGGAAGCAGGAGTCTGGCTCCAGTATGTCTCCCTGTGCTGGCATTAAGGCAGTGATTTTACTGGAAGAGCTTAAGGGGATGGATACTGGGATTAGTAGGTGATCGGTGGAAGGGATGGGAGGTCTGAAAAGTTCTCAGCCATGTGCACATGTGCAGTTAACTCTTCATGCCTCCTCATGGGTCCCCTGTGCAAATTCTGGGGGAGTTATATGAAACATAGTGGAAATTCAGGCTGTGATGTCAACAAGCTCTTTCTGTGCAAACTTGTTGGCAATAATTGGGTCTATCCGATTTCAGACAGTTTTGTTTTATCTTATAAGCAGAGGGAATTTCAGTGTTTCAGCAAGTTGTTTATTTTCTTATCTACCATCCTGTAAACTCAAGGATTTCTAGGGGCCAGGCATGGTGGCTCACAGCTGTAATCCCAGCACTTTGGGAGGCTGAAGTGTCAGGATCACTTAAGGTCAAGAGTTTGAAACCACCCTGGGCAACATAGTAAGACCCTCATCTCTACAAAATAAAGTAAATTTAAAAAATAAGTAAATAAATAAATTAGCCAGGCATGGTGGTGCATACCTGTAGTTTCAGCTGCTCAGGAGGCTGAGCCAGGAGGATCACTTGGGCCCAGGAGGTCAAGACTGCAATGAGGTGTCTCTTAAAAAAAAGAATTTCTGGCCAGGCACGGTGGCTCATGCCTGTAATCCCAGCATTTTGGGAGGCCGAGGTGGGCGGATCATGAGGTCAAGAGATTGAGACTATCCTTGTCAACACGGTGAAACTCTGTCTCTACTAAAAATACAAAAATTAGATGGGTGTAGTGGTTCGTGCCTGTAGTCCCAGCCACTCAGGAGGCTGAGGCAGGAGAATCGCTTGAACTAGGGAGGTGGAGGAGGTTGCAGTGAATTGAAATCATACCACTGTACTCCAGCCTGGTGACAGAGCAAGACTCTGTCTCAAAAAAAAAAGAATTTCTGTTAGTCTGGTTTCTTTAACTGTTTGTGACCTAGTTTCTTCTTTTTATTTTTATTTATTTATTTTTTTTTTTTTCTTGAGACGGAGTTTCACTCATGTTACCCAGGCTGGAGTGCAATGGCGCGATCTCGGCTCACCGCAACCTCCGCCTCCTGGGTTCAGGCAATTCTCC